AACATATATGTTCTTTGGCTCCTCATTTTCCCACTTACTAGATATATAACTTGGCAAGTTTTTAAAACCTCTTTAAGCCTAAGTTTCTGATCTAAGTTGAAAATAATAATATCTTACTCAAGGTTGCTGCAGGGATAAAATAAGATAATGTGAATAAAGCTCTTAGTACTGCATCTGCAAATGATAAGTACTCAGGAAAGTGTAGCTTCAATTTAATCTTGTCATTAGCAGAGCACAGAGATGACAGATGAACTAAGATTTATTAAGTTCCAAATTCTCCTTGGGCAAAAAAGAGGTTCTAGAAATTACCCTCTCCCCATTCTTTCTACCTCACGAGTTTCTTTTTTATGAATTTGAGAAATAATTCTCTAGCTTGTGTACCATTTTTCCCTTCATCTCTTTTTTTCTAATTCCTCATGATTCATTTTAGAAATATCACTGTACATCATACAACCATTAGCAGAGAAAAGGTGTAAAAGAAAAAGAGTAAAGATTCAAATCTTTACCTTAAAGTTATTTATTAGTAAATATTTCTAAGTGGTGAAATTACTGATGATTTTTGTCCTCTTGACTTATGTTTTTCATATTTTCCACATTTCTACCTTGACATGTATTACTTTTATAAGGGAAAGTATTGTGTGATTTTATAGTGGATCGTTATAGAGATCTTTACAAGTGTTTAAGGATGATTAGGGTACTGGTTAAGGTTTTGCATGTTCTAAGAATACAGTATCATTTTTCCCATTTAAAATAATGAAACATTTTCTCTTGCTATACAAAAATTTGCTTTCCCACATGTTTCAGAAGTGGGTTAAATCTAGATAATTAAAAATGCCTGTAATTATTGTATATTATCAATACTTGAACATTTTCTGTGTTAGGCTTTGTGCTAAATATTTTATATATATTATTTCTTTAAAATAAACTGCCTCAGCAGAGACACCTAGAAGAAAGATGAGAGAATAGATATGGAGGAGAGGTAGACGATTTTATTTAAAGGGTTTTTTTTTAGGAAATATGTTCGTAATTCTGGTGCCTGTCTTCATTACAAGGACAGGACATTCATTCCCTCACTTTCTACTTATTCCACCATCCTCTGAATTCTAGTTTGTTTCAAAAAATCACCATTTCATTAAAACTCTACCAGGTGTATTCATTAACAGCCTTTTGTGGTGAACCCAATGGGTTCATATCTTATATGATTTTTTTACTTTATTTAACAACTTTGACCGTTTAATCTTTTAAAAACTCTCTATTTTCAAATAAATATTTCATACTTATTCAATAGCTTTATTCTTTATTTGATCTACTGATCCTATATTTAACTATACAATGCACATCAAAATTTAGATGAGTTACAGTCACACAGTCTATGATTTAATTAAAACTGACTTCATCCCCCTCATCCCAAATCTGCTTTTCCTCCAGGGTTTCCCATTTCAATAAATAAAGTAATGATTACCTTCATTTCTTGAGCCAGAATTAAGACATGATCCATGGCTTTTCCCTCTTCCTTATCTCTAGTATCCAATCAATCATCAAATCATTGTCTCTTGACTATTTTATGCAGAAATTTACTAGTTGGCCTCCCAGGGGGGGTCAAATAAATATTAAAGTAAACTGTTTATTTTTCTGGATTGATCAAATTTATATGCTAACATGGACATAAGAAGATCCCTAACAAAGCCATTGGACCATGATTAACTTGGGACTGGTACAGTAAGATGGCAGGAAGAAGGCAGTGAGAGTAGCCCTAAAAAACAGACATTAGGTTTAGTTGAGTCATGGAGTGCAGCTAAATTTAATTACCGGAAGTCATACAGGAAATGCCAAAGACTGAAGTAAGGACAAGAACTATATGTATAACTTCTTAATTAAAGTTTATCAGTCCATTGCTTCCTTATTTTATGAGATGTAAGTCTTCTTATATCAAGAGAAAGGCTGAAAAATTAGAATCGTATCTATTAAAATAGTAGTATGCAAACTGACCATACTTCCACTACACCCACAAGCCATGCCCACTGGCCAATCAGGAGCAAGTATGCAAATTAACACAACCAATATGGCTATGCCCACAGTTCGAGCAGGAGGCTTGGGTTTCCCCAGCAATGGAGGAAGCCAAGCTTCTGGCCTGCCCTGGTCTCCACTCAAGGCTACAAAGTTTCAATTATAGAAGATAAATAAATCCCAACAAAAATGCCAGCAGCCATGGAGCTGGAGAGAACAGGAGGCTTGGGTTTCCCCAGCGATGGAGGAAGCCAAGCTTTCCGCCCACACTGGCCTGCCCTGGCCTCCACTCAAGGCTACAAAGTTTTAATTATAAAAGATAAATAAGTCCCAGATACCTTGGGTCACCAGGGGGCATGGCAAAACTGCAAACCACCACAGGCCCTTCGCCCAAGCCACCCCATACCCCCAACAGAATGCACACTCTGATTTGGGACACCCTTCAGGGCAAACCAGCCAGACCCCACCCATGCACTAGACCTCTATCCTATCTAATAAAAGAGTAATATACAAATTGACTATCACTCCAATACACAAGATGGCTGCCCCCATGTGGACACAAGATGGCCACCACAAGATGGCCAGTAGGGGAGAACAGTTGGGAGTGACCAGGCCTGCAAGGGAAGGCAGTTGGGGTCAATCAAGCCTGCAGGGGAGGACAGCTAGGGGTGACCAGGCAGCAGAGGAGGGAAGTGAGGGTGACCAGGCCTGCAGAGAAAGGCAGTTAGGGGGAACCCAGACCTGCAGGGGAGAGCAGTTGAGGAGGTTAGGGGGGACCTTGCCTGCAGGGGAGAGAAGTTAGGGGCAATCAGGCTGGCAGGGGAGCAGTTAGGCATCAATCAGGCTGGCAGGGCAGTGGTTAGGGGGTGATCAGGTTGGCAGGCAGAAGCAGTTTAGGGCAATCAGGAAGGCAGGCAGGTGAGCAGTTGGGAGCCAGACCTGGATTGTGAGAGGGATGTACAACTGCCCAGGGATCCTAAACAGGCAGTTGGACATCCCTTGAGGGGTCCCAGATAGAGAGGGTGCAAGCTGGGCTGAGGGACACCCCCCCCATGCATGAATTTCATGCACCGGGCCTCTAGTATGAAATAAAGTAGATTTTTGGTAAAATGAGGAAGAATAGATTTGGGTATGGAGTATTTTTTAGAGAATTAATGAAGCGTACTTGACATGTCATAAAATGTACATGTTTAAAGTGCATAGTATATTTAATTTTGACAAACGTGTACATCTATGAAACCATCACCATGATCAAAATTGTGAATATATCCATCATTCCCTGTTATGATGCCTTCCCTGGTTTGCTTTCTTTTAGTATAGATTAGTTTGCATTTACTTAATCTTTTTTCCCCCATAAATTTAGTATATATTTAAGTAGCATATTATGTATATATATTCAACAACTCATATTGTGTGTATCAATAGTTCCTTATATTTTGTTCCTGAATAATATTTCATTATATCTACATTATACAATATATTTATTCATTTACTTATTTGAATTATTCCCAGGTTTTTATGTTACAAGTAAAGCTGCTATGAATATCCCTGTATAAAACTTTGTATAAAGATACACTTTCTTTTCTCTGTGTGAGTCATAAATACTTATGAATGAGCAGAGTGTTTGGGTATAGTATAAATGTATACTTAGCTTTTTAAGAAATTGCTGAACTGTTTTCCAAAGTGATTGTTCCAGTTTTCTATATCCTTACTAGCACTTGGCATAGCTGGTCTTTTTACTTTTACAAATTTTAATGATTATGATAATTTTAATTTAGCTATCTCTAGTGGCTAATGATATTTAGCATATATTCATATATTTATTTGCCATTTTATATCTTCTTTCACAAATTATCTGTTCAAATAATTTTCCAGTTTTTTAAATTATTTTGTTTATTTTCTTATTTATAAGCTTTGAGAGTTCTTTATACACTTAGGACAGTTTCATTATTAGATATTATTTTTTTCAGTGGTGACTTATTTTTTTTTTCATTCTCTTAACAGTCTCTTTTGATGAAAAGGATGTTTGATTTTGATAAAATACTATTTTTTAAAATATATTTTTATTGATTTTTTACAGAGAGGAAGGGAGTAGAGATAGAGAGCTAGAAACATCGATGAGAGAGGAACACCGACCAGCTGCCTCTTGCACACTCCCTACCGGGGATGTGCCCGCAACCAACGTACATGCCCCTGACCAGAATCGAACCTGGGACCTTTCAGTCCACAGACCGACACTTGACCACTGAGCCAAACCTGTTTCGGCTATTTTTTTTTATTTTTGATAGGTTATGCTCTTAACTATATAGCAATTCTTTGCTCAACCTAATTTTACAAAGCTTTTATCCTATTTTCTTCATTAAGTTTCTTAATGATAGTTCTATGATCCATTTAGAGTTCGTTTTAATATGTGGATTAAATTTTGGGTTTTTTGTTTTGTTTTGTTTTGTTTTCTCTGCACGTGTCTATCTTTGAGTGTGTATGGAAATAAAACTGTTCCAGCATCATTTGCTAAAAAAACTTCTTTAAAAAAAGTAAGAGTGACTACTAAAACCAACCAAGGTAACTGACACGGAAACCAGGGAGCAGCAGTGGAGGGATTTGTAGGGTCCTGCAGAATATCCTTGTTTTCATTCAGGCCATTTTTAATATCAGAGTGTACACTTTCTAATTCTAGTACAATGGCATCTTAAAAGTTGTTGTACATCATCTTTCTTGAAATACATGATCTCAAGAAGTGGGATAAAATATTTCAAGTGTGTATCCAAGTAGGAGATTATTAGATTAAACCAAAAATGGTCAGTAGAAGAAAAAACTGAGTTAGTTAATTGGGGAAAATGTAAAATTTATGTCTAACTTATGTCTTTTATATCTCATCTAACTTAACTTCATTCTAGGTTTTCTTAGGGAAAAAAACTTAGCCTTTATCCCCTATCTAGCTGTTAGCATTTGTAGTATTTGCTTAGGCTTCTCCCTAGTATAATTTTGCTTACTTTGAAACAGAATTCTGTAAAATTTGTTCTTGCCACTTTTCATTGTTTTAGAGAAAGTGTTGATATAATATGTTGGTCTTTATCTAGAAGAATGAAAAACACATGGAAATAATTAGATATAGATAAATAATATGCTATATAGCAAAGGATGTCATTTTAGGTGAAATAAATGCAGGGAGCTTGGAATATTCTAAAATACTGCAATAACTTTCCTCAGACACAGATTAAAATAAGATTTTGTCTTTTCAATCAACATCAACTTCTTGCAAATAATTTTCAGTCTGGGTTAAAAAAAAACTATTTTCTCTTAATTTTTTATTTTGTAAAAATCTTAGTGAAAATAGATAAAATTGTTTATTGTCCTTTTTAAATATTATAGTTCTACATAAATATAAATCTGAGATCATCATATGCCTTGAATAATTGATGAATAAAAGCAGTGCACAGGGTGAAATTTGGAAATTATATTGATTTTTCTCAATTTTTAGAAATTTAATCTGATACAAGCAAAATAAACATGGAGATTTGCAAAGTCTGTTTAGCTCTTCATTTTTAAGTATTATATACCTTTATTTCTTTGTTCTAACTATAGTCCCTAACTGATGTCCTGGTTCCATTGTCCTCAGGGATAACTCTAAATTCTATCTTTCTAAAGATGAAGAATTATGAAACATTAAATGGAATGCTGTATAGTTAAGAGTAATTAATAATGATTATTATAGCCATTAATTAATAAATCCATTCTAATTGTAATTACTTATGATAGTGCATTAGAAAATGACTTTATGTTAATGGATCAATGAGAGAAAAAGGAGGGACTTTAAGTTTGTAGAAGAGTGGGTAGGAAAGTTATTAGATGATAGGAGATAGGGCTCATTAAAGATATCATTGAAATGGCTCATCCACAGACATTTTTCACATATCTTCTGAGAATACAGGATTTTTTTTTTCTGATAAGATTCTCCATGTCCAAATGGTTCAATGACAAAAAACCTTACAAATATTTCCTCCAGATTCCATGTTAAAATATTGCAAAGAACAGCTCATTGAACCTATCTACTAAGCTAATTTCCTATGGGAGAAATTAGCATAGAGTTGTAATATGGTGATTTTGTGCTTTATTTTTTTATTTTTTTAAATATATTTTATTGATTTTTTACAGAGAAGAAGGGAAAGAGATTGAGAGAAACATCGGTCAGCTGCCTCCTACACACCCCCCACTGGGGATGTGCCCACAACCAAGGTACATGCCCTTGACTGGAATCAAACCTAGGACCTTTCAATCCGCAGACTGACGCTCCATCCACTGAGCCAAACTGGTTTTGATGATTTTGTACTTTATTGTGGATTTTAATAAATTTGTATTAAAGTAGATTGAAACTGATCAGTTCACATAGTGATATCTACCTAAGACAAATATATTCAGGTAGTTTCTGTTCCTTTGCTCACCGTACCACTCCCCCCAATTCATCTCCCTATTCCATTTTTATCAAACACAGTAGTAAGAAGAGGAAGAGAAATCTTCAGAGATGTTGTGACAACGCACACAACTGTCAAACTGAAATGCTTATTGGATGGATCCTATTATCTCTAGGAGAAAGAACTTTTAATACACCAGTACCTCCACTTCAAACAATTGTCTATTGTTAGTCTGACATGGGTTGAGTCATCTTCCCTCAGTCACACGGTTGTGGCACTGCTGGAACCAGAATCTAAAACTTGGTGATGCTCACCCCTCATTCAGGACCAAATCAATTTCTAACAAGAAAAAAATAGGAAGTAGTTTTGAGTTAAAGCAGGTATCATAAATATCAGAAAGAAGATAAAGAGGGCAATCTTAATCCCCAAATTCTTTATGGGCAACTATACATGATTCCAGTTACGTAGGTAATTTTAAAACCTACCAACTGAATTATTTTGTCAATGGCTAACATCTTTTCTGATTGGTTGCTGTATCCATTCTAATTGGCCCTTTTATTTTTAATAGCTCTACTGAGGTAAAATTGATATATTACAGATTGTTCATATTTAACTGTAGCATTTTTTTAAGTTTTTCCATGTGTATACATTTGTAAAATCACCACCACAGTCAAGATAATGAACCAATCCATTACTTCCAAATTTTTTCTCATACCTCTTTGTAATTATGTTAAAATTCTTCCAATGTTTTCATTTTTGTGTACTGCTGAATGGTATGCCATTGTTTGAATATAGTACCATTTATCTATTCACCTGTTGATGAACTATTGTCTAAATTGTTAGGGTTTTTAGAGCTGTGCAGGGTTGTGCTTTAGATAGATATGCAATTATAATTGCATTTGCCTACTTTTATAAGCCTAGTTAGCAGTTCATCATAATGTAACTCTTAAAAGGAGTTATTTTCTGTTTCAAAAATGACAAAACATCATTATTTCAGGATTGTAAAAACTATTACACTTTTTTTGTTTTATTTGGGCAGGATCTATATATTAAATCAATTGGTCATGTCAGTCATAAGGTATTTGAGTGACCAGAGTAATCAAATTAGGGGGGAAATGGCTTTCGTTTTTATTTTATAATTTTAAGAGTAATTTTTAAAACTAAGAATTATTAATTTTTTTTAGTTTGAAAAATCTATTGATGTTATTCTTTTAATTGGTTGAAGAGTATCAGAGCAAGATAAGGTAGATTTCTGATTTCATTGATTAGCACTATAGGAAAAAGCTCATATTTCACAAGTATACCATTATTAATGCCCAATCCGCTAGTCCCTTTTCATGCAGAACTCCCACTGGGAGTACCATATGAGAAAAAAATGTAGGATGAGACCCGATTATGAGACTAATTATGACTTTCAGTTTTCCTGGATAAGCTAATTCTTTCTGCACCCTGGGATCAGTAAGCACAAAAGTAGTTTCACAAGGATTTCAGTGCCTTTAACATTACATGTATTTATAAATGTAAATCCAGAAACATTCACCAGCACTTCTATTCTCCAGTATTTCCTTTTGTGTTTTGTTTTAAAAATGATTTTAAAAAAAATTAAAGGCAACGCTGCAGGTATATAGTTTCATTAAAAAAGAAGGCAGACACCAATTCCGTATTTTTTGGCCCTGACTCATTTGTTTTAAATAGACTATTTAGTTTTATTGGCACCGCGGGTTAAATAAGACTAAAGGGGGACATGGGAAAGCAGGATGAAAGGGAACTTGAAAGAGAAGAAAACAACAGACAAATGAGAGTTGGAAGGAAAAGAGAGGAAGAGAAGGACTGCTGTGAGATGAAAGAAGACTGGCAGGAGAGGCTCTGCTTAATTTTCATTTTTATTTGTGGAGAGCTTTGTGAGTGACATAAAATGATTATATATTCTTGAATGATTTGAAATCTGTGTTTGATTTTTTTTTTTTTTTTTGGTGTGACAAATCTTACAAATACTGATTCCAGAGTTTTCTATGATGCCACTATCAACAAATCCCTCCAGCAGCCCTTTTTATTCAGTCACCCATTGTACATCTATCTGAGGGGGAGTTTCTTTGTATACTGAGTAATTTCCATGTTGTGAGGTTTCTTGTCTTCAGTTACCTCCAGTTTTTTGCTTTAGTCGGAACACTCACATAGCATTCAAAAGGGAAAACTCAAAGCAATATAGACTGTTGTGCCTTTTACAAAGAATTAGAGCTGTGTGCCCCTACCAATGTAGCAATATATTATATAAGGTCAATACTCCTTTTCACATGCCTCCAATACAGATGCATTTTATGAGGTAGAACAGCAAACACTGAATCACTCTAGTAGAGATACACAAAACAAGTAATTATTGCTGGTTGCATAAAAATAATTATGCACTTGTGTGATGAAAACCAGTTCTTAACTGGGAGGAGAAATTCTACCAAGAAAGCATGTGGAAAAGCTAAATGTTGTGCTCTGGAAAATAAGCCATTCCATAAAACTTCCTAATGCAGCTACATTATCCAGAAGAGGTACCATACTTTTTTTTTTAATAGCACATTGCACACTGGAGGTAATGCAGTATACTTGTGTACAAGGCACATATAATTACTGCTATTTTCTGTTGACTTTTCTGCCAAAGTGACCATTTTCTCTATTATCAATTCATCTAATATTTTAGCGAGAATGCCCTTAATTGTCACTTAATGCTTGCCAGGTAGTTCTTGATTATGATTCAATAGGCACCTAGAATCACTAGTGGTTCTTATTTTGAGTCAGCTATTACCATCATAGATGTTACTGCATATTCTCTGTGTCTAAGATATATAAAATAGCATTTAAAATGGGGGGGGGGGAAGCTAATGGGGGTTTATTTGTAATGCAGCATATTTTTCTTTAGATTATATAGGACACCTATGATGTGTTCATTCTATAGAAGGTACGTAGCTCAAATATCTGCAGTGAGTTCCCTCTGCTCTGACGTGTACCTAGCTCCCAGTGAAGCCAAGAGGATTTTGTTGCCTTACTGTTAAGCATGGCTGTTCTGGGCCCTTTAACTAAATCCACCAGTATGAATGAACTTAGAGCAGAAATAGCAAATACAGCTACATTTAGGCTTATATCAGCATTTCTGTTTAACACATTTTAAGACTACAGTTAAGTAATGTGGAGGTTGTGACATGAAGTGACAAAACCCTAGCCGGTAAGCTGGATGAGACTCTTGAGCCAGGCTTCCTGGACCAACACAGTAGGCTAAGGAATGAGGCTCGGCCTTGCCTCTGAATTTTCAGGAGTGTAAAGACACTTTAAAAAGTCTTAATATTAAACATATCTTATCTATACACCATAATGGTATCTGTGGCCAGCACACAAGCCTGTGAAGTTTGAGGAAGTTTCCATCCTAATCCTTTCAATTGCTTCTTGCTACTTCCTCCCCCTGCCCATATTTTCATACTGGACTCCATGCCACCAAAAAATAAAAAGAACAAACAAACAAGACTTCCTTTGAGGCAGTTCTATGTAATTTTTCTGAGCAAAGCTCTGAAAGTGATTAAGAAATTTGGGGCAAGAAAAGGAAAGGTCAAGACAGAACCTTAACAATTCATTTTGTAACATGATCACCGATGCAAACAAATGACAAATACATCTACATTTA